GCCTAAAAGCCGCTTTACATTAGGCAATTTTCGTGCAATGCAAGAGCAATGCAAGTTAGAGATACGTTACTGCGCATTTTCATACGCAATTCAGGTGCAAGAAAAATAAATAGAGAAAGTTCTATTTCACTTGCAAGTTTGGCGCAAGTTCTAGTAACTTTTCCAGTAATTTTGTCAATACCACAATTTATTTGGTTTCGCGTGTGTTATTTTTAATAACCTAAAAACTTTATTTATTCGTTAAGTAACAAATGTAACTTGTAATTTTGTTACAATGGCTAATAACAACAGGTATGTGTATTTATATCTATTTGATGGTGGAAAAGTTTCAATTTTTGAAAAATATGTTGTCAGTACTGCAACACTTTTCTGAACTTGCACAAAAGTTGCAACACAATTGCATAAATGTAAAACCGTAATAAGCAATGCAAGGCAATTTTAGATTGCATAGCACAAGCCTTGCATTGCACTAAAATTGCCTAATGTAAAGCGGCTTTAAACATTAGGGTTACATGATTCCTTATAAAGTACGTATTTGCGAGGAGCTTTGAAAAGAACTACTTACTTTAAAACGCAAAGATCGCGATACAGAGAGTATGTAGAAATGAATAAACAATAATAAAAATATACGTAAAAAATCGTCGTCAATGGATGGCGAATGGCGACAACTGTTTAGGAAAAACCATGTTTGCCAGTGCCTTAAGTAAAAATTTTGGACGTTAACAAAACATTCATGAGTAACCTCCTCTCCAGGCGCTTACACTAAATATTGCTGTGGTACGTGAAAAGGTTTCATAGTTAATTTGAAGCAAATTCATTTATGTCTTACATTCCGTTATTGCCAAAATTTAAGACTAAAACATTTTAAGCGCCAAATTCAAACTGTCTGCAGTTATTTAAGATCACCAAGTATAAGCTCTTTTTTGAGATCAAAAATGCGGTAACAATAAAACCGAACAGATAAGAAGCGAGAGGCTAAGGAACCTTAAAAATCCATACATGATGAAGGATATGAAGATACTTCACATTCAATCCAGATGAAGGTTCTGAAGTTTCTGAAAGAGTCGACAAATCCGATGGAGCCTTGAGATTCGATGTGTATACCAAATTCTACAGTCAATTATTCTCACATTGAACGAAAGTCCTTCACTACATTTTATTAAGACCGGTAATGCAATATTGAAAGGGGAACCAGCAACGCCTGGAAAAGTGGTCGATCCGTGGACCGTGGTTCTATCTGCACTACTATTTAACGCAAAAGGAAAACTTCTGGAAGACATACCGTTTCGTGGTTAAAAAAGCGAGATCTAGACCAGACCTTTGCTAAGTATGTGGTACGCCCTCCACACGTTCAATAGGGGTCACAATGAAAAGTGCAGGTGATACAGTGAAGTAGTGCAATTTTAGTTGAGGTTACGGTCACAGTCTCTAATTTCTGCGAGAACCAATTAACAATACAAAAATAAAGGCGGTAGATTGTGCGACAAATTGTAAGATGGCTAGTCCACGGTATAACGGTGCCAATCTTCATAAAAAGGAATCAGAGGGCCACGGCCACGTTACCTCCAGATTTTTGCGAGAAAATACTGGAAATTTAATGGAATTGGATCGGGGACCAACTTGATTACTGGAAATCGAGCTGGAAATATAATGTAGCGCTTTTTTAGAAGGAGTATTAAAGTGATAAATTGGTGATGTTAATCAATTTAATCCTTCATTAATCTTATTTATAACCGTAAGAGATACTTGAGGCATATTTAACTAAAAAAACTGATTTATAATAAAAACGTCACGTTAATTAATTATTAAGAAGTTAACGTCCAATCAAGATGTAAATATAGTAAAAAGGAGCTGGAATATATGGTTATGGTAATAAAATCGCGTAAATTAAAACTTAAACCGCGTTAAACAATACGTTGCCTTGGGCGCGGGTGTTAAATATAATATCGGGCCCTAGTCAAAGTGTTGATTTACAATGGGATTAAAAACCAGTATTACTTGTAGCGAGCTGGATAATAAAATAATTCGTGCTCGTTAATTGAAGAAAAAATCTAATTGTCAAAATGAAGCCATCACATTCCTACATGGTCGCTGTGTACCAAGTAGACCGTGAAGGCAAACGGAGCTTGAAAAATATGCACATGTCCACGCCGATATTATCCAATTTGAGTTGTAAATTATGCTGATTAGTTACATCCAGCATTGTATTCACCCATCACTTTCTGTTAATTAATTTTTCAATCCACACGTTTGCACCAAAGTGCACGACGGACAATGGAATGAAAAGCTCAGAAACGGTAAAGCGTATTATAAAGTAGGTATATAATTGAAACTTAATCCCGGATTATTCGTCGTATTGTATTTAGGCCAAGCGCTTTCGTTTCAGGTGAGCTTTAAACCAGTCTCTCATACCTGAATGCCGAGCTTTTGGAATTTATTGAACTCGAATTCTGCTCGCTCGCTAAACTTCAATGATGCAAGAATGCACCGGAGCTCTGTCAGATTGTAGCTAACTGAAACGTGTGATTTACGAATTCTTGCCTTCTGATTTATATATTGTTGTAATAACACGTTATTGTTCTTTATACCTACTCATATCATTTTTTTTGTTACAGGCGATGTGTGTGGCATGCATTCATGTTGCGGGCCAATTTTAGAAGGGCGATTAGTCATTAACAGTCGTCGACAATTGGATAAATTCCTGAAGGATTCACTTTATCGACTCTCTTCGGTGCTGGACACGAGAGCTAAACGCTTTGATGGTAAGAGATCTCGCGTGTTTGTTTTTCATTTTCTTAGGCAAACATACATTTTTCCAGTAACAAACATTCCGACCGTTGATAACGCAACGTACGTTTGCTTAGATATTTTAAGAAGTTCGTTTGCTTTTAAAGCGACATTTTGTAGTTGGCGACAGTCCTGAAATTTATTTTTTGAGATTCTGAACTGACAGATTTATTTGCGCCATGCTTCGTGATCTTGTTCAGGTTCTCGGGTTCTCCCATCCCTTTGACACAAATAAGTCATTATTCGGATTCACAGCTTTTTGAATCATTTAAATGAACGTCACATCTGTCCTAATTTATTACACTTACTATACATTATTATTAAATTTAAGAGTCGCTAATTTTAAAACGAATCTGCGTCGAATATCCTGATTTGTTCAGTCTCCAAGGTGGTAGGCAACACACAATGACTGAGTTACAATGCGAGTTGTTGAGTTTGTTCTTTTTTAGCGCATTTTTGCAAAAAATTTTTTTTGTAAAAAGTAGCTTTTAATCTCACTTTGGCTGGCTGGCTGGCTGGCTGGCTGGCTGGCTGGCTGGCTGGCTGGCAGCAAATGTGGGCGCGTAGAAGAACTCTTGTAGAAAGGCAACGGGGGTACGTGTATCTACAGGGCCGTGAAATTTGTCAACCTTAGGGACATGGCTACATGATGTGGGGTTGGCGACATCTGGGCGTCATCCTCGAGCGTAGTATACTAACGTGAAGGTTTTTCAGTTTTTTCCTATCTTCTACTACAGTTTTGGTCCGATTCTTTTGAAATTGGTGTCGTCGGAAAGATGTTGTAAACGCGCACAACTCCTGCGCGGAATTTTGTTTTTTGTCATAGGGGCGAAATTAACGACCTTTTGCGAGGCGCGCGCGCGCGTCTTCGAGAAGTAGTCAGGCGCCTTTTACCTTCCGTTGCGAACTCACGCGGTTTAACGTTTCGTGAATCTCGAATCGCTGTCTCTCTTTCTCGTGTCGCCAAATCTTCAAACGCGAATTGCGGGTAAACGGGACGTCGGAAAGGGGTACCGTCAAAGGGAATGTGGTAGCCCCCGACACGATCTTCCTGATGGTGGAGTCAAATCTTCAAACGCGAATTGCTGGTGAACGGGACGTCGGAAGGAGGTACCGTCAAAGGGAATGTGGTAGCCCCCGACACGATCTTCCTGATGGTGGAGTCAAATCTTCAAACGCGAATTGCGGGTGAACGGGACGTCGGAAGTGGGTACCGTAAAAGGGAATGTGGTAGCCCGCGACACGATCTCACTGATGGTGGAGTCAAATCTTCAATCGCGAATTGCGGGTGAACGGGACGTCGGAAGGGGGTACCGTCAAAGGAAATGTGGTAGCCCCCGACACGATCTTCCTGATGGTGGAGTCAAATCTTCAAACGCGAATTGCGGGTGAACCGAACGTCGGAAGTGGGTACCGTCAAAGGGAATGTGGTAGCCCCCGACACGATCTTCCTGATGGTGGAGTCAAATCTTTAAAAGCGAATTGCGGGTGCACGAGGAAAGTGGGAAGCGGTTAGTGAATGTAGTAGCCTTCGACAAGATCTGTTATTGATGGTTGAATCGAAAGTGGCTAATAGAATACTGATCTGCCACACAAAAATGCGCTGAAGTCCCTTCGATCTCAAACGAGGACTTTGATAATTTTATAATCAAAGGTTCGATTTATTATTTATTTCTTGCGTTCCTATTACAATTTGAAGTGAAGCGTGGTCATTCTCGTTCTTGAATTTGTATGACTAAGGATTTATGAAAAAATGAGAACGCGTGTTACCATACCAATCCACAAGACGAACGGCCGAAGGGGTCTCGGCCAGATTTTCCTTTGAGGAGTATCCTGTCCCGACACTTTCGGATTGTGCTAAAAAATACGTATATAATAACGCATTCACCTCAACTTTCTTCTACATTTTGTATACGAATCACTTGGCTCTCACAATTCAATTAAATTTTATAATCTACGTGGCCGTGAATCGGGCCATGAATGGATCAAATTGACTCCACATGACCACAAACATCCATTTAATCTAATTTAGCCAATAACAAGAATGTTAAACAAGTCTGAAATTATGAAAATTAGTGTTATACTTGTACGTTAATTTTAGGATCATGCCGTTCATTTGGATAATAAAGTTGTCTATCTGATAATTTTTTCTAGAATGGCAACATAGGTTATTTTTACTGTCACTCATCGGAAGTGATAGGAAAATACTATTTAGAACTTCCACTAATCAAACAATTCGAAAAATTGAATGGTGAAACGCCTTGTGCAATACAATTGGACCTTTTGTATCGCCTAGTTTTGAAAGATGATTGACGGTTTGAATCGGGAGCAAACTGGGTTTCAGGTTTCTCGAAATTTGGTAGTTGAAATTTTGTTGGAATAATTTATCAATTTTTGCATTATTGAAATGTCAATTGTACACTTAGGATTTTAACAGCTAGCAAAAGCACTAATTAATCATCTTTAAACTTTTTACCGGCAGCCATTTAAAACCAGAATCTAATTATCACCCGTATAAATAAGAGTGGTTAATACACTTGTTTTGTTATCGTAACTAACCACTCCAAATATAAACGCAATGAAATGCGCTGTACTTTTGACCCCAATGCTTTCGAGGTCAAATTTATTTAAACTCGATCAAATGATGCAATCAAAATGAAAATGTTCGCTCACGTATTATGATTGCAACACACTCGCACTATGTTCAAGGTTGAAAATAAATCGGCCAACCTGTCAATTCCTCTACACATCGAAGTTCCCCTTTTGTATAAGTAATCCACTTTATACATATTAATTTTGCTCATAATGGTAACTGGCAATGGATTGGAATTCGCACACGACAATAATTTCGCCGAATTGGTGCCACCGTTTTGTCTTGTAATTCAACTTTCGCGAGAAAAAATCACGTACGATTATATGAGTTCGTTGTATCGAACCTCGAGAAGGAAAAGGGAATTGGCTACGGCTAGGCAGGGAAAAGGGTCTTCCTGCGAAACACCCACAAAGGTTTTTTTTTAATTTATTATCCCTCTCTGGTTCTGGGCCCTCAACAGGCTTGCGCCCAATTACAGAGAGATCCGCAAAATGCTTTTTAGAGGTGCCCCTGCAAAAGGTCTTACGTTGTTCTATACTACTCCGGTATTTACCTTACGAATTAGGAAAACTGCAGGAAAACTTAATTCGGAGTAATCGGCAGAATGCTCGAAACTGGTCTAAGCTCACACACCTTTTGGGGCCAGGCGTTGCACAAGTGACACCACTATAAACTAAAAATAAAATAAGAATACAAGCTCAGGCACTGGCGGGGGTAAAAAAACTATTGTCTTAGCAATGACCAATGAACAATACATATACACACATGATAATTGCATAAAACAGTAAATAAATTGGGAATTCTGGGCAAGGTTACACCTAACTACATCCGAATTTTAAGCACAGCTGATTACTTATACAGACTTACAGACAGAAAGATAAACTTACTGAATTACTTTGCGATAACATTAACGACAAAGGCAATAAAAAGATAGTAAAGGTTGATGACACATTAGCAACTTATCTATTGCATCTAATCAATTGCAGAGCAATTTGTCACGATGGTAGCAAAAATGTACCGCAACGGAAAAGTCACGGCAAAAGGAATTGCAGATTATCTGCACTTTGGCAGCTGCACCGATATTTCACACATTGCATTGCATCTTAAATACCATGTGTTAGACAAGTTTCATCTGAGCAGAATATATCAATCATAAGTTGGTGAACTCGTTTTACCATTAGACTAAAATTTAATTACGTACCTACTCCATTAATAAATCGGTTTCGGATTGCGATATAAATAAAAGAAAGATAATTAAATTAAAACATATGGCATTAGCGAAAAAGAAATCCTATGAAGATAACTTTACCTCGAAAAGATATCACCAGCCGTATTCAAGTAAATACGTTTAGAAATACAATTTCGGCAATTTTTACTGGGTGGCTTTAGATTTTATACCTCACATTTCAACATCTTTCGAAAAATAAGTACCTGCCATTCAACGACAAAAGCAACCGTGATAATTCCCCATTCCCATTTGTACCGACTACACTCCTAACACAGCGGATTCAGTTAGTTACTCAAACTAAGGGTACATTCAACGAAAGAACGGACCGTTACCTCGTCTTAAAACTTTCAGTTGAAATTAATTAATGTTACGCGCTTAACTTACATAGAACCCTGATTCGCTTTGAAGGTTCAGCGAAGAATCAAATATTACGCGATCTTAAATGCCGCTCTCGACTTACACAGGTTCGTCTAGAAAATTCAGCGAAGAATCTTTCTCTCCCACCCAATTTTAATGTAGTCGCATAGTCAAGAAACCGAAACGGGCCCAACGAAAACCAAGCTTCGGTCACGTTTTTTATACATGTATTTGCTTGCACACTCAGTGGCGGATTTACATATAGGCACACTAGGCACGTGCCTAGGGGCGGCAGCTTTAGGGGGCGGCATTTTTTTGCGCTATATTTATTTTAGATAATGTTTTTAGTTTTAAAATAAGTCCCCTAACAACTTACAAACGAAAAAAATTTTTAATTAAAATTATGAAAGAAATTGGCATTGGTAGAGAGTTTAAACAAACTTAACTGTAAGAACGATAATCGACAATGCGAGTTTTGACGTGTGTGAAAACGTAATGTTAGGTACTGTATTTCTATTCATATTAGTTTTAAAAATTTCAAGGTATAATGTGATTTTTATTAGCATCTTAAAGTTTATTGAAATTTAAAGATTATTTTTGGAGGGGCGCATATCTTTCGGTGTGCCTAGGGGCGCAAAAAATTTAAATCCGCCACTGTGCACACTTGCTTCTTATCTGAAAGCGCTTCATTCTATCGCATTTTAGTTCCGTTCTATTTCACTACGAAGCGGTACAAGCAAAAAACTTCCTATACTGGCAAATTACTTTCTGTCGTCGCTGTAGCTGCCAAAGTACTC